AAAAAGCCTTTTAAGTTCTTGAATTTTTGGGTGGAACATGCGACTTTTAAAGATGTGGTGAAAGAGAATTGGACAGTTGATTTTAGTGCAAATCCTTTTATTCTTTTTACTCACAAGTTAAAAAAATTAAAGAAGGCCCTTTCATTGTGGAGTAAGGCTACATTTGGAGATATTTTCCAAAAGATAGCAAGCATGGAGGAGGTAGTGATGGTTCAGGAAGCAGAATTTGAAGCAAACCCTACAGGGATGAACAGGGAAAGGCTACAAAAGGTTCAGGCATAATTGATCAAATGTCTTGAACTAGAGGAGAAATATTGGCAACAAAAGGCAGACATGACTTGGTTCAAGGAAGGGGATATGAACACTAAGTTTTTCCACGCACAAGTGAGAGGTAGGAAGAAGAGACTTCAGCTTAACAGAATTCAAAATAGTGGAGGAACCTGGATTAAAGAAGAATAAGAAATTGCAGAAGAGGCTATCAAATTCTTCGAGGAACAGTTCATAGAAGCAGCTACTCCTTCATCATTTGATATCGTAGAGCATGTTCCTAATCTGATTAACACTGAGCAGAATGCATAATTGATTAAGTAGCCAACAAAAGAGGAGGTTAAAGTGGCAGTACTCGGACTTAATGGTGATAGTGCTGGGGGGCCAGATGGTATGACAGGCAAATTCTATCATTCTTGTTGGGACATAATAGGGGATGACCTGTAGGACATGGTGAGGGATTTTTTCAATGGTCATGAGCTACCCAAGTGTGTAACATACACCAACCTAGTTCTGCTACCAAAGAAAAAAGAAGTTACCACTTTTTCTGATTTAAGACCAATAAGCCTCAGTAACTTTTCAAATAAGGTTATATCGAGGGTGATACATGAAAGGCTAGTGAAATTTCTCCCGAGTTTGATATCGGAGGAACAATCAGGTTTTGTTAAGGGCAGGAATATAGTAGAAAACATCCTTCTAACTCAGGAGATAGTGATTGACATTAGACTTAGAACTAAGGTTGGACCTAATGTCATCCTGAAGCTAGATATGATCAAAGCTTATGATAGATTATCTTGGCTATTCCTAACCAAGGTACTGAGAAAGATGGGATTCACAGAAAGGTTTATAGGGATTGTCTTTGGATTAGTTTCAAACAATTGGTATTCTATTCTAATCAATGGTCAAGCTCTTGGGTTCTTTAAGTCCTCAAGGGGAGTAAAACAAGATGATCCTGTATCTCCAACTTTGTTTATCGTGGCAGCAGAAGCATTATCTAGGGATCTCAATGCACTACATACTAACCTGTATTTTTGTGGATTTGGGATGCCAAAGTGGAGTCCAAAGATCAATCATTTGGCGTATGCAGATGACATGATTATTTTCTCATCCTCAGATGAAACATCTCTGATGCTGATTATGCAAGTGCTGAATGCATATGAAGTTGCATCTGGGCAGCTTGTTAACAAGACCAAATCAGCTGTGTACCTGCATCATTTAACAGACATGGAAGTGGTCAACAAGGTGGAAAGGATCACAGGCATTCATAGGAATGATTTTCCTATCATATATCTAGGTTGTCCTATATTTTATGCAAGGAGAAAGCTGGAATACTATCAGCCCCTAATTACTAAGGTAATGGACAAACTGCAATCATGGCAGGGTAAGTTATTATCAGTAGGGGGCAGGGCAGTTCTCATATCCCATGTACTGCAAAGCATGCCTATGCATCTATTATCAGCTGTAAACCCTCCAAATTATGTGATAAATAGGTTGCACAAATTGTTTGCTCAGTTTTTCTGGAGCAGCTCTGTAGGAGGAACTAGTAGGCATTGGGCTTCATGGAATACCTTATGCATGCCAGTTGAGGAAGGAGGAATAGGTTTCAGGTCACTGCATGATGTAGCAAAGGCATTATTCAGCAAGTTGTGGTGGAATTTCAGAACAAAACCAAGCCTATGGAGCTCTTTCGTATATCAGAAATACTGTAAGAAATTGAATTCTGTAATTGTTCCATGGAAAAGGGGGTCTCACATTTGGAGAAAAATGTTGGAATGCAGAGATCTGATTGAACATCAAATCTTTTGGCAAACAAAAAGGGGATCCTCACTATTTTTGTTTCAAAACTGGACAGGTCTTGGGGCACTATATTTTTTAGTTCCTCAGGACTTTGGCATTGATGAAATTGTACATAATGTACATGATGTTACCTTAGATGGTGAGTGGGATGTGGACAGACTATTTGAAATGCTTCCTGAAGACTTAGCAGTACACATTCTGGAGAAAATAAAATCACCTTCACCTCAGCAGGTTCTTGACAAGCCTTGTTGGATGCTGGAAACAGGAGGATATTTCAGTGTTAAGTCAGCATGGGATTATACGAGAAGAAGAGACGAACCAAGAATAGCTTATAGGATGATTTAGGTAAAGGGACTGCCTTTTAAAATAGCATTTTTCATGTGGAAAGTGAGGAAAGCAAAGCTACCTTTAGATGATTTCTTAAAAAGGGTAGGCTACTGCATGCCATCAAAATGTTGGTGTTGTGTACAGCCTGACGAGGAATCTCTTCAGCACTTGTTTTTTAGATCAGAAACTGCAAAGACAACTTGGAAGTATTTTCTATCGAGGGCAGGAATAGCTGTGGAGGGATTAACATTGCACCAAGCAATCACAAAATGTTGGACTGCAAATGTGTGCTTAAGGCTCAAACCAGTAATGCAAGCACTCCCCTCATGCGTAGTCTGGGAACTCTGGAAAAGAAGAAATAGTATGAAGTATGGTGATGCTGTGACAACTAGCAGGGTGATTTATCAAGTTTCATCAAATATCCAGGCATTGGTGAAAGTGAGAAAGCCTGGGATGGACATGGTACCTCACAAATGGCAAGATCTATTAGCTATGATGGAAAATTTCACTCCTAAACTTAAGGTTACCAAAGTCATGTGGGAATTTCCAAGTGCAGGATGGCTAAAAGTTAATACGGATGGTGCATCGAGGGGAAATCCAGGCAGGAGCTCAATAGGTTTTTGTATAAGAAATGAAAATGGTGACATAGTCAAGTCAGTAGGGAAGGAGATTGAGGAGACAACAAACACAGTAGCTGAAGCGAAGGCCATGGTAGAAGCACTAAGGTTCTGCAGATTTCAACAATACTCTCATGTATGGCTTCAAACTGACTCAATGTTATTAAAAAAGATAATGGATGGGATCTGGAAACCACCATGGATCATATCTGAGCAGGTAGAGGAAATGATGCAACTAATGAATGGGGGCAATTACACAGTTACTCATATTCATAAGGAGGGCAAAAAGCTGGCAGATCACTTGGCTAATTATGCTTTATATCATGGAGAAATAGAATGCCAACAATTCTGGCATCTAGATGCACAGGGAAGGAGGTTAGTTAATGAAGATAAGCTGCAATGTCCAAGTCTAAGGGTGAAGGTGGACATGAGATAAGAAGCAAAGAGAAAAGGAAGAGCAGGAGCCATGTCAACTTAATCGACCGATATATTCAAATCCTAAATGGAGGAGGATATAATGGTTGGTATTTCTATCTATCTTTTCTCTCGTGTAGTTGCCACTACGAGTATATTATCCTATGCTTTCATAAAGCCAAGAATTAAAATGCATATATTGGCCATGACTTTGGAATGTCTTGTTTTCCATCAAGACAAAAGGAACGACAAAGGCAGGAACGCCTGGAGTTTTAATTTAATACAAATGCATGGGATCGAGGAGTCATCGTTAGAAGCAAAATTCGAGCTTTTTTGTAAGCATGCGTCCAGCAGCTTGAGAGAATATGAAGGCATGTGCATTGGGATAACAAAACTGGATGTAATCAGAGACATGGAATACACGCATGCTTCTAGCATTACTATATGAATGCATGCTTCAAGATGTTTGGGTCCTGGTGATTACTCGGTCAACGAGCTACAACAGTTGGGAGGACAGTTTAAATTCCAATAGGGATGCACGCCTATTTTCAAAAGGAATTGCACACTGGCATACACATGGGAAAAAAGGCATGCACATGGGGATTCGACAACAAAAAAATAGGACATGCAATTGCTCGCTGGCAGTGTAACGCAAGCTGGACAATGAATTGGAATATGGTCAAGCATGATTTCTCACGCTTCCGGAGGGGCACGCATGGCATACGCATGGATGCAGAAAGCCGTGTGCTAGTACATTGGGATGGCAACGCTGTCGAGAAAGCGAGGACAACAACTGGAGTAAGAATCGAAAGGAGCAATTTACGATGGATATTCATTCACGCTACCTACAAGCACTAAGATATGGGGACAGAGGAATCGCGGCATGCCTGGTAAACAAAGGCTTGGCAATGTAACGCTTAACAATAATAGTGCTTAAAAGAGTCATCGATGCAAACGAAAAGCTTAGAAGCGTGGCTGCAATTTACAAGAACAAAGCAGGAAAGTGTAGGCATGCCCGCATGGATTACTAACTTTGGGTGTTGTGCGAGCACACCTAATTCGAGCTGCTGGCAGTGTGTAAAAATGTTTATGCACAACACTTTTCTCCAGGATACAACGCACGCCTGTAGTTTATTACAATGCACGATGCATCATGGGTAAATTCAGTTTGTATTTTTAATACATTGCACGCAGCATCGTGGGCTTCACAGCTTTATTTTCTTTATTCCAAGCGTGTCACTTGGAACCATATGCACGCATGATGCATAGTACTACAGACATCCTCAAATTAACGAGAGATCCGGAGAGTACTCGGTCAAGGAGCTACAAGAGAGGGGACATACAAAAAGCAGGTGCAAAAGGATGTCTGGATAGTGTTTGCACCAGCATTCTTTTGGAAATGCAATGGAAAAGTTTGCAGCACATGGAAAAGACATCAAGACATTAGCATGATGCTGGTTATTTTTTGGAAATACAAACTCATGTATCAAAAGGAGCAAAAGCATGTGAAGCATGGGTTCAAATACCAAACAATGAAGTTGATAATGTAGACAAGCACATTGTAGGCATGTGCATTACTTTGGGTGCAAATGCCAAGGACCTTGGCCCCCTCAATAGTGTGGGAATCTCAAGGGGACATCACATGATCAGGTGCTACAGTACCGTCTGGCTACAGTAACCTTATGCTACAGTAACCGTATGCTACAGTGACGTTTGCTACAGTGCTGTATGCTACATTGCCGTATGCTACAGTGCCGAGCTACCAAATTGGTGGAGTCGACGTGACGTTGCTGAAAAGGGTCTATACACGCAAATCAATTTTAACTCTAGAACTGGGACGCTTTGGACTAGAGATACAACGTCGGCATGGACTCACATGGGCTGTTTTGACAACTACAAAGTTTTAGTAGGCATAATGTGATATCAATTTGAGTATTATGCTCATATTTGATACTACGTACATTAGAGTGCAAAGTCTATTTCCTTTCATTGAAGGTAGACAATGACAATTTCCTAATTATTGTATTTTCTTTTCTATTTTTAATAAAAAACTAGCCCTAGGCGCTTGCCTAGCGGATTGAAAAAAAAATTGCACACAAAGGAAAATTATTTTATTTTGAATTTTTGGAAGTAGTTCTCATAGGGCAAAAATCACGTGCTCACAATTATGTTGTTTTGTTCTTGTATCAACTGAATCTTTACTTGGTTCAAGGGTGATCAAATTCGAGGGTCAAGACTACTTGTTTCATTTGGTTATCTTTAATTCCTATTTACTGTCAATTTCAATATCAATCTACATTTATGCTTAGTTTGTGCCAAGTAAAATTACGTATCCTTAAAACCACAATATAAATTCAATTGTTATCCATTTTAAGGTAAATAGTTTGGCGCCCACTGTGGGGCTAAGGATAATAGTGATTTCTTGGTACAATTTTTTTTACCACACACTATTTTATGCTTGTTCTTTGATGTGTCTTTGATTACAAAATTAAAAAATGTCAAACTCTCAGTCAACATCTCAACACATTGACAATGATCTCAGCCACCACGACGAGAATGAGAACATTGCACCAGGAAACATTGTACCCAATACTGGCCTCGATGGAGTTCCGACTGTTGATCCAATTGACGTCAGTTCGCATGTAGCCATAACGGAAATTTGGCCGTCGATCGAAAGCAACATTCGTGGGGGTACGCGATCAACCACTAAGAATGCACATGGCGGTGAATATGGCGGGATCAGCCTATGGGCAATCTTCAAAATATTGCAAGCCCAATAGGCAGCAATAGCTCAGCTTCAAAATCAGAACAATACTCCAAGTAGGGTCGAACTCGAGCCATCCCAAGAAGTTGTACACGGGGTCGAATCTGCTTTGAGAAAATCGAATAAGAAGGAATCGAAGATCAATACTAATTTTTTAAAGATGCTCGAGGAACTGACAAAGCGAATCAAGAAAGGGGAAAAGAAGATCGAGGAAAATGATAATAAGGTGGAAACGTATAACTCCAGGGTCGACCAAATCCCAGGGCACCACAGATATTGAAAGGACTAGATTCTAAAAAGTTTGTACAAAAACCTTTTCCCCTAGTGCGGCTTCGAAGACAATCCCCAAGAAGTTTCGTATGCCCGAGATTCCTAAGTATAATGGGAGGACTAATCAAAATGAACACGTCACCTCACACACATGCGCCATAAAAGGAAATGACTTGGAAGATGACGACATTTAATCCGTATTGCTGAAGAAATTCGGGGAGACTGTATCGAAGGGTGCTATGATATGGTATCATAATTTACCGCCTAATTCTATTGATTCGTTTGCTATGCTTGCAGATTCTTTTGTAAAGGCACACGGTGGAGCCATTAAGGTTGCAACAAGAAAGTCGAACCTTTTCAAGGTAAGGAAGAAGGACAACGAGGTGCTCAGAGAATTCATATCTCGATTTCAAATGGAAGGAATGGATTTGCCAATGGTCGCTGACGATTGGGCTGTCCAAGCTTTCACTCAAGGTCTCAACGTTCGGAGTTCCATAGGTTCACAACAGATGAAGCAGAATTTGATCGAATATCCAGTTGTCACTTGGGCTGATGTACATAATCGATATCAGTCAAAGATCAGGGTCGAGGATGATCAACTGGGGCTCCTTTTGGGTCCATTTATCCTAACAAGCCTGTGGATAGTATCAAAAGAGAAATAGATTGAGAACCAAGATCGAATAGAGATAGATATCAACGGTATAATGGATACCGTGAAGGTAGTACATCTTAGCGAAACTCTGCACAGAATGAGAGGAGGAATGATCGAGGTCAAAATTTACGGGGACTCATGAGCAAGAGTGGGTTTGGCAGGGATACCGGGCCCAAAGAAGCACCGTGATTATCGGAATATAACTTCAACATAGATGAATCCACCATCGTATCAGCTATCGGACGTATCAAGGATACTAGATGGCTTAGACCTCTACAGACTGATCCGGCTCAGAGAAATCCCAACCAAATGTGCAAGTATTATGGCACTCATGTCCATAAAATAGAAGATTGCAGACAACTAAGGGAGGAAGCAACCTGATTGTTCAACGAGGGGAACCTTCGGGAATTCTTAAGCAATCGGGCCAAGAATCACTTTGAAATATATATTTAAATTGATAGAACAAGCAAGAGGTTCCACAGCACATGATTTACATGATCGTTGGAGGGGTCGATATTACTCAACAGTGTTTAAATGCACCAAGGTGTCGATCACAGGGGAGAAACGAACTCAGTATTACATACTAGAAGGAACATTGTCTTTCAATGATGAGGGAACAGAAGAGATCGTACAACCCCTAGAACAACACACTCATTATATCTGCACTTATGAATAAAATTCAGGTTAAACGTATTTTAATTAATCCAGGTAGCTCAGCCAACATTATTCGATTGAGGGTTATGGAATAGCTCGGCCTATAGGATCAGGTTGTGCCCACGGCCCGAGTACTAAATGTATTCAATATGGCATGTGAAACCACCGAAGGCGATATACCTTTGCCAATAAACGTGGCTGGGACCATCCACGAACCGAAGTTCCATGTGATCGAGGGCCATATAAGGTATAATGCCCTATTCGGAAGACCGTGGATCCATAACATGAGGTCAATGCCCTTGACCCTTCACCAGGTTCTAAAGTTCCCAACGCTAGAGGGAGTCAAAACAGTCTACGGGGAGCAACCCGCCACCAAGGAAAAGTTTGTTATCGATGAAGTAATACCGATATCAGCGCTCTTATCAACAAAAAGGTCAAGTTTGAAGAAAAAATAGGAGGTCAAATAGCAACCACAGACATCAACCATGGCCCAGTCGGGGATGCAAGGGACTGGCGAGGATGATGACTATGGGGTTCCTCGATCCTTCATAGTCCCCGGTGATTTCGACGCCACCAAATCAACGGTCGAAGAGCTGGAAATAATCATACCGATCGAGCATCATCCCGAGTGAAAGGTATACTTGGGCACGGGGCTAGCCCCTAAGCTCAGGAGAAAACTTAT